ACCACAAATTGATACAAATGGTGGAATCGAAACAGTCGATTTTATTCAAATTAGCTGTACTTTGGCATTTCTTAGGATAAAAGTTTCTGTTTTGGCTCTTATCAAGTTCCTTATATAGTATTTGTTGCAAAGTTCGTAGCTGTATTTCACGTAATTCGTAACGGAATTTTTATTAGTTGAGTATCACACCGACCCGTCTTCCCATGACTCGTATAACAAAGGAATCAATTAGATAGACCAGCTAGATCAAATACGAGAAAATCATAGATCAGATAGACGAGAGTCAAGTGTAGCTACTCTAACTAGGTATAGTAAACATTTAGCGAATGAATCTAAATTAGCCTAATTGCTTTTTAAATACCCACCGAGTAGCGCATGTGTCAATGCCAGCAGGCGGTGTCCTTTTGAAGTAACAAAGATTTCGTCCACTGGACTAAAAAAGTTCACAAATACAACAGTAACTACTTTTTACGACAGCGTTAGAGACACTATTACAATCGTTTTTCTAATTTTTGTTTATTGAAACGTCTAATCGTAAAATTTCAACAATCGTGATTTTGCAATCAGCTATTCTAAAGCTACCTTACTAAATTAAATGACAGTATAAACATGCTTCATGACCGTATATAACCGTGACCATGACCACACATCGAGTGCCTTTTCTCACGCAATACTCTGATCATGGTTGCTAAATACAGATACAGTTCCTGATAAGACAGTCCTTAACATAAGAGAAAACTGACTGCCTTGTTTATCTCGCATTGGAATAGTTCAATCGTCTAATCTAATCAAATAATGCAGAGATGATTTGCTAATTGCAATCCTTCCTTTACAGACTTCTTATTAAACGAAAACTTAATAGCAAACATAGAAAAAATAGACATTCTGAAGAATTATTCGCAATTAGTAATATTTCAAAGTTAAATATTTTAAGTTTACGAACAAAAAGTATTTCTAAATAATAAAATTGAATTGTAGGAGAAAGTTAAATGAAATTATTAGAAATAAATGTTGGGTTTTGTCCCTCTCTCTCTCTCTTTCTCATTATCATTCAAGTAATCTGTTTCGCTTCTCTTTCACGAAACTCAATTTTACAGATCTCATCACCACCATTCTTTTCTTTTGGCCATTCATGACTCCTCAATTTGAAAATCTTAAAAAGCACAGTAATTTATTCAAGGACTTTTGCCAAATTGATCTTGTTGGCTACTTTTCATATCCACTGATAAACAAATTAGTAATTTGTCTGTAAAAGAATGATCTTTCATTATTCCGTATACATAAATGATACCTTTTGATATTATATATTTTTTCACAAATTCTATAACCGTTTCAAAACCTAATACCGAGAATCTACTTGAATTAAGCTTTCTATTGCCATGAGTAAGGAAGAATTTTCTATGGACACCATTTAGCATTAAAGAAACCGTCGCGTCGAATTGAAGCGTTCGTTGGGCGTTATTGAACTGATATCTTTAAACTGGGTGTCAATAAAGCGAAATGGTTTGATAATAAATATTAAGTGGAATCGTTATTGAATTTTCCTGGTGTGGCAATGTGATCTCGTAAGCCGGCTTATGGAAACGTCTCCATGAATAACAAAGTGTGTATTCCGATGAGGTGATCGCCTCATGAAATTTATACGCTTTTCCTAAATAATGCGCTCGTAGCAGTATTCGAGGCTGGGCAAGTCGACTTTTCGCTTTATTGGAATAATTCTGGAAATATTTAAACGTTTCGTGACAATAAACAACTTCTTAAATTTTGCTAGCTTTATTATGTCTTAAAATGCAGTTCCTGTTACAAAGTTTAAAATTGGAAATTCCGCTGGTTAAAAGGCCAAATAATAGAGTAGTTACCCACTAATCTAATTTTTATGTCATAATCTACCATTAAATTACATTTACTGGAGTCAGAATTTCTGTTCAGTTTGTGTAATAAGTAGGAATGATTACCTATAATTTTGGTGGAGCAAGCAAAGTTGTTTTGCTCATAAATGTGACTTTATTATTCTCCAAGGTAACTAGGCGGTTTCTTAAGGAAGAGAGATTCCGGTCTTTATTTTTACTGAGCAAGGTCATGATTCCTTTTCAACATAATCTACATATAAATGAATTCGAGCACCTGCACGGTTACCTGGTTGCAAAGAAGAAATACTGCTTTATCTACATCAAATGACACTAATGGTTCATAAATTTCAGTACCGTAGAACGATTAATATTGCCCGGCTAGAATTAAATGTAATCATAAAACATTCCTAGGACTTTACTGCAAAAATAACTCGTATTTTACGGCTGCAGGTAAAAATTGTGCTTTTGATAATTTCGAACATTTTATAAATGTGATACACATTCCGCTGGATGGGCTTTAATTCCAAACCATTTATTATAAAATACGATCCATCCAGTGGAATATTTTTGTTCACATTTGAACTACAATCGAAAGACTAGTATCTAACTTTCTATATATCGAAAATCGGTAACTCGCTTTACCTTTTCGCGTACAATTCATCAACCCTACTTCCACGTACATATTTTTATTTTAGTCTTATTTGTTTCATCCCAAAGTAGACTCTCTAACAGAAAACTTATGATGTACTTAACATAATCTTTTATAACATTTTATCCACAGAATATGAGTTATTTCATTCTAAGTTATCCTTAAAGATTTACCAATAGTAAAGGCTGTCGTGGCTAGTAGGTGTACTGATGCTGTCCTGGTTCGGATCAAAAGGTCGTCGTAGACTGAGTCCAAATCCAGCATCAGAGATGGAAGGAGTTCTGAAGAAGCTCGCTAGTCATGTTAGCGAAACGTTAGGATGCGACTCCAACTGACGACGACCTTTAGATCCGAATTAGGCCAGCATCAATTCATTCCATTTCGTACTACAGTTACTGCTGTATAATTTGAATTTTCTTAATTAAAGCAATTGTACCTATAAAATTGAAGCGTTTCCTGGAAGCTTTAAAAGGACTGTTTAAAAAAAGAAAATGAATAACGTCCTTTGTCTGCGAGACAGTGCAGGTACTAAATCGGATTAAATTAAAAGAAAAGTTACTTAGAATTCTGAATGAATGCAGTGCCGCAGCGTACGCTTTAGTAAACATTTTCATTAGACTAGAAACATTTCTGCAATAAAACTTACCTTTAGAAATCAGAACAGTTTTCAAGTCTCTCTTTCTCTCTCTCTCCTCAACTCTCTATAAATTTTATAAATCAGGAAATGAAAGGCCTTAATTAAAAGGTCGGTGATCATAAATCTCCTCTTTGTGATGTCGTATTCGCGGGTAAAGAACTTTTCACTTTACCCGTACACACTCTGACGGAAAATTCACGTCGCTAATCTATAGCTTTATTCAGATGAGACAAACTGATTTGTGCTTGCCGAGGAAACTTTTTGTTTGTTTTAGCTGCTGATCGCTCTTTCCATTTAAAGTAAGGTGAGAAAGTTGTTTATCTTTAACCGTGAGGTTTACCTATCTACGAAGCTCACGACATCCACCATCGTCATTCTCACGCCGAAGTTTCATTCCACAAACGAACAATAGCTTCACATTTTTTGTATAGACCGATGTTCTACTTTTCACTGCCTCCGCCGTTTATACGTATTTTGTCAAAGCTTTTAACAAAGAAAGCACCCACTTGACAACTGTAACATGTCTACAAGTTGAATTATAAATCATTGTATTACTATTATTTCAATTACATTATACCAGTATCATTATCTTTCTTTATTTGTTAAGCAATTAAGAGAAAAGCTTTAGCAAATATAAGAATACCTACCGGAAACGGCAGCAGTGAATTTAATTTAATATGAGTTAATTTGAAAGGCTGTGACCAGAAAATCAGTAAAAGGAATAATAAATCATCTAGTGGCTTTTCGGTGCCCAACATAACTTTACTCATTAATGCATAAGAGTGCCTATTTGTCATGTGTATACTCAGTTCAGGCACAACCTTTAAAATCAAACTCATCTGACCACTCCATTATAAAGCTTTAATCATATGCTTTTGTGACAGAAGGTTTTAAATGTATGAATTTATAATATGAAAAGCAAAATAAACTGAGTAACGAATGCTGAAGCAGTTACAGTAAATAGATCAAGTAACGTATCTGGAAAATGTGGAAATTTTAGTATATTCACCTATTGAAATTTTGAGTTCGTATAAAATGCTTTCGACATGGAGAAGCTACACTAGTTAGTGTTTTAGTTTAATTATTAATTGCTCATTAATTAGATACCTACACATTGAACTTAAATTATTAATTAATAAGTTTAGACAAATAATATACATACTCGTATAATATAAGTAGATGTTAAGGTTAGAACCTTAGCACTAGATATATACGGACAGACAGTTACAACAGAAATAAAAGCACAATGTCTATTTCCCTTTACAAAAAAAAAAAGAAAAATAAAATAAGATTTCTTTATGGCTGTAGCACATGGCACAGTCAAAAGGTTCACATCATTTTAACTTTAGACGGGGTGAGTAGTATCAACTTACTGATGTCATGTTGTGAATGCTTTCTCTGAGATGCTCTTAAACATTGTTCCCTTTGATCCTGTACGAAAGGCAGGATATTCGTTTTCAGAGTAGGTAACTGTAAATCGTATTTCTTGACACATACCGAATATATAGATATTGCTAACATTTTGAAGTTGTTAAGTGGATAAAATAGTCCTTGTTTAAACATTAAGAAAATATGAACGAATACTTTATAATTGTTGCAATTATAATGATAACTCGGTACCTTGCCTATAACGTTATTTATTATTATTATACAAATCAGTTCTGTTTGTTTCTAATGTAGACCTTAAATATGATAATTTTGCTGATGAAAAAGTAAAATCAAAATTCTCAATTTAGTCTCCTATGCTCTTTCCTTTTAACCAATTTATTTAGGTTATAATAAAAAGCTGAATTACGTAATCTCAATTATTGTTTGATATTAATAATGAGATCAGAACCTTTCAAAGTGTTTCTTTATTTTGCAGGTTAATTTGACAACCGCTAGGCCTAATTTTGTTCTTCATTAATAGTATGCGAGACAGCTAGCATGGCAAAGTGGAAAATCGATTTTACGCCTTACCTGGTTTCCATCGTTCTATTGACAGGTGAGTTAACATAATCAAAAATACAATGACCATTTAATCGCATAAACGAATCCAATGTTATTACTACACTTTTTGTGTTCATTGTGTTCCAGTTTAGCGAAAGTACAATATATCTTATGCATAGTACCCAATGAATGTATGTATGTAAAGGTGTATTTAGAACGAGAAAGAAATAAATCAAACGATATTGACAGGTTCATGAACTGAAATTGCTTTTTAACGAAGTGCCAAATTTTAAACATTTACCAACTGCCAGGGACAGGTAAAGCAATCGAAAAGGTTATCCATCAACGGGCGATCTGTGTTCTTTTCCATCAGACGTTATGTCGTGATCGAACTTTCAAAAGTTTACTCTTGAAGGATTGTTAGTAATAGAAAAGTCGCTCTAATTAAATGTATTACTTAATAGTATAGAAAAACAGAAGAGTCAACTATATTCATAATAGAATTACCTGAATTTTCAATTTTTAAGATCCGTTCCAATTAAAGGTAAGTACACACTGGAACGGAGCGGACTGACGGATCGCAGAGAGGATTGCATTTCTTTGTTATCGCTCGATGTATTCTGCTTGAATTTTAAGTAGAAAAAATTAATTTGACAGTGTCATGTACAGTACGATTGAAAATTTTACAATTAAGTACTTTTAGATGTCCAAGGAGACGTTGCAGGAGCTACTCTTGTATCTCCGTTATCACTTTTCCGTTAAAATTCATGTAGATGCTGAGGCACATTGACTATTACCAGATGCAGGGGCGCATTTAAATTTCAATACTCGGAACTGAAACGCATTACTTCTGATGCGGTGCGTTCCGTGTCAGGTGTGTTACCACATTTAAATTCATACTAAATATACCTTTTCGCTGTGCTTCATCCGTCTGTTGCGCTCCAGTGTGCGCCTACCTTAAATCTACTAAATATTTACTTGGTAGGCATATTAAGAGTCACTTCTGATGACTCGTTTCTTTTTCACTAGCATTAACAAGTAGCCACTAAAGAAATCTGTTGCGTCAACACCTGCTTGTGTATCGAATAAGTAACTGTTTACGAAGTGATTTATGTTCGAAATATGTGTTAACTGTAGCGTCACTTTGCCAATTCCCCTTCGTATATGATCCTGTTCGTGTATTTACAGCAATGTTACCTTCGGATCGATTGCAAAGATGTTACAATTTGTTCGCAATTTCGTACTTATTGTACTCTGGCATTTCGTACGAAAGCCATCGGGTCACGTAGCTATAAGGTGACATAGTCGAAAGCAGTGTTTTGTAATGAAATTAAATTAGTATCCGATGCGTGAGCAAATTACCTATGTAGGTTACAAAATAATACTTCAATTCTTCTTAATGAAACAGAAGTTCTGGGAAGTGCCTCGACTGCATTATTGTCGTGATTGATTGATTTATTGTTATTAATTAATTGATAATTTTGTTTTTATATTATGGGGTGGTATTTCACTATGCCAGTTGAATTTTCAAAATTGGACAACTCGATTACGTTCTCTAATCTATCGATTTTTATCAGATAAGTAATCTGTAATCGTTGACGAAATGAAGACAAGATATCAACTCATGTACCTACCTAGAATCTATCGATTTGCCATTTGGCAAAACAATTTCCATATCTTGAAAAAAAAAAACGAATGAAACTCGTAATGGTCACGAACGTAAAAGAATAACGGCATTTCACAATAGCCCCATTCGGTACTTAATGTAGAAGAAGATACTCTTGAATAGCTAACAAATGACACAACTGGTGAAATTTCTCGAGAAGATCTCACGTTCATTTCCGCACGGTTTATATTTAATATTGGAAAAAATATGGAGTTCGTTGGGCTGAGAAACGTATCAGGAATTGGTTTTTACGACCCATTGCTCCTTCTATCTTATCAGCGTTGTTTGGATGGATTTGAGAATTTTTAACTCTCCAAGAACAGGGCGAAAACAATCAGTCATACCTAATCGCAAATAAACCATCATTCAATCTTTTTCTGGTCGTTTACAGTCGATTAAAAATCAAAAATATACTGAGTTAAATAGCTACAAACAGTAAACTTGACGGCACATTGTATAGGATTCAATTATGTTCAAAGAGTTTTCTTTTCTAATTTGAATATTGATTTGTCAAACTCAATCCTCGATTGGTAGATGTTCTATTCAAGCCCTCATGCATCCAAAGTAAATTTTTGAAATATTTCTACCTCCTCTGTAGGAGCATTTTTATCGCATTATGTAATTCCAAGAGTTTTTCAAATAAATAAAGTTATATCTTCTAAAAAGTTTGTTTCCTTAAACAATTTTAATATAAAATCTGTTTTTCGCGTGTGCTTACCAAACATATCACAATGTTATTTTAGATCTGCGGATACCTACGGAATGTGACTGTGCGTGCTCCCGAAATTCTTGAAGCGTTCAACTGGCACACGGTATTAGCAGCCAGAAGGTAGAGAGATAAAGAGATAAAAAGAGAGAGAGAGAGAGATACTCAGTTCTCTCTGTACTTTTGTATTATTTATGTTCCCATAAATTTGCGGACTGAAACCGAAAACTTGAGAGCTGAAGCAGCTGCACTTCTATTAATCAAAGAAAACAAAAGTTTAGAATTATTGTTAACGAAGACGTTTTCGGGGGATGGCATAAATTATTTTTATTACAAGAAAGCTTTGTATTAATGGGTCGGATTCTGAAATACTGGAAGCTGAGCAAATAGTAAACGGTTTCCCTTGTCGGATAAAAGAAGTTAGTTATCTGTGAGCATACTGTTAGAATTTAAGGTATTAAAGTTACCGTTATTTTTGTGACTACATTATAGAAGACAGATCAACAAAAAGGTAAATTATTCATTAAATTAAGTTACCTCAAAACGATGCAAGAGAAGACATATTGTTACGACGACGTTTTGTTTGACCAATTACTGAATGAGCTTTTAGTGCTCGTTACCAAAGCTTCCTATGTTGCATCATATTCCTGAACAATTTGGTGATACTTAAACTGTCGTGGATGTAAATTCAAAGAAAACATTTTACTTCGTGTTTTATTTTTAATCTAGCGGCCCCGATAGTGTATTTTACTTGTAAATACGTATGCAGCAAATTTGCAATTTGATTGGAATACTCATACCTTTTTGGAAGGTAGTTATTCTATTGTCATTTCTACTGCAATTGTAATGTTTGGTTTCATGTATTGGTCATTCGTACACATAATTAAATATTGATGGAAACGCATTTTCGCAAATGACCGACTTTCGTTCGTTCGTTCGTTCGTTCGTTCGACACTTTCAGATAACGTATAAGCTCGCTGGGGAAAACATAATTGAGGGGGGATAATTGATACCGCTATATCGATGTTTTATTACCAGTTCAATTTTCGATATAATGCAATTCCAATTAAATTTCTATCCAACAAAACCCCAGTAAGCTGCTCAAATTGTACCTGTATTTATGATACAATTTATTGAGAATGGCATCCTGTTTTTAATTATATCTTACATTAGTAACAATTAAAAGTCTGCACGATTAGATAACACACTTAAGTAGATGGATGGTAATTAGCAGTGAAGAAATATGAAGCTTAACTCATATTAAAAAAGAATCTTAATACAAGTAATTGTTGTCTTTTAAGTTCCTGCAGGATCTTTACCTTGTCATGGCGTCACTCAGTATAAATTCTCAATGTTGGGGAAGCTAAAGGACCTATAGATATCTGGGGGTAAGTGTGGTTTGGCAAGTAGGCCTTGTACATGAAGAAAAGGTCAGTATTGTCTGTCGAGGGTAGTCGAGGGGGAGTAGCCGGTAGTTGACAGGCAGCAGAAACGTAGAAGCTAATCCGTCGACAAGGAGGAAATTCTCGTGTGGTCATCGACATCTTCAGTGATAATTGTATTTCCGGAACCTTAGTAGGTACCTTTTAGTGGGTTCCATATATTAGGGTTTCAACGTGTATGTAGAACGAGTCATTAGCAAATGTTTTCGAGTAAAATTGATAATGTATCGGAAATCGGAGACGTTAAAGACTGAATTGACACGATACATCCCAAAATCCTATCCTTATAATAAAAGTGTCACTATTGTGCTTTATTTAAAGCTGTAATACACACAAATAACTTACTTAAATCCTTCACAAAAGGATTGCGGGAAACATTTATTTATTACACCAGAACCAAAAAGGCACGAATACTTTATTATATTTTTGCAGTTCTTATTAAGTGCTTTTTGCAAACTTTGAAAACTTTATTTGAAACTTGACACAAACAGAAAGTTTAGACCCTTTTAAAGCACTCCAAAGTTTTAATTTTTATTCATGACAACGAAAATTCCGTATATTACTTAAGTATTCCTTATTTCCGGGGCGACGGCGATGGGCGCGAGAACTAGAAACCGCAACTGGAACTTTCGTCATTGAAATATATGATCTTATGCTTCTCAGGCGTATAATTTAACTGAAAAGTTGCAGGATTCCTTCATAAACTAAAGAACGTAAACTTTAATCACTTTTCTATGTAGGTAATCATTTATAACATCAGTTTGAATTTTCAACTTCAGATGAGCCCTGTAGCTTTTTATACTCCTTTTGGTAAATGTTTACAGGATGATTGATGACACGTAAGTTTCGAATTCCATATTTCAAAGATCTGAATAATAATAAATAAAAGTCCTTCATTCATACCTTTAATATAGAAATAACTAGATCTAAATACTTTTGCACCTTCTACTGCATCTATTGCTAATTTAAAACTTATACTATTTAGTCAATGCGGTCGTAACAGTCCAGTAATACAGGATGCGGCATTTAAGTAAACAACTATATCTGACATTATGTCGACAATCATATCATCACTAATTGATAGCTGTGCCGGAAGTGCATCTTTAAAATAACATATAACTTATAAACCTAGATTAAAGTGTAATGCCATGTGTTGCAAAACATTCATAGGTACTAAGGTATTAATTGACATTTCTTAATGAAGCAGTTTAGTTGTCGATTGGGAGATTTTAATTTCTGTT